AAATTGTCAAACAAGGCATAGAGTAGACAATCTTACTGGTGTAAAATTTAAAACAAACTTTTGCCCCAACACAACCAAGGCAACTGAAAGCCCTGAAGATGGATAGGGGAGAGTGTTTGAATTAAATTTGACATCCAACAGCTATAGAGAACTGACAGATACATGAGATTAATAGCCATTCCTCTCTTGTAAAATACATTTCCTGAGAACACAGTTCATTTATCAATTATTTAAAGACAGAAATGTCCCTTAAATTTTCAAGGAATGCATTTTGTAAAAAGGGCTTGGGTGTTTGTTGGAAAGTGTCTGTTGAACCAAAACAAAATTATTTCCATGTGGTTTTTTTTATATGAATAACCTGTGATTGTATCATTGGAGGGAGCTCCCAGTGAGAATTTCCTTTAATCAATAAAGAGGTTTCAAGCCTTAAGAAAGTTGCCTGGTGCTAAATAAGTTAAATGATTTGAACAAGGTCACAATGCCAGTCACATGTGAACTCAAGTCTTTACAATTCTTAGGCTGGCTCTCTAGACACTATGCCATACTGACTCTCATCAATAAATTTAATTTAAAAAAATTTTTTTTAGGCGATTGGGGTTAAGTGACTTGCCCAGGGTCCAACAGCTAGTAAGTGTCAAGTGTTTGGTCTGAGGCTGGATTTGAACTTAGGTCCTCCTGACTTCAGGGCCAGTGCTCTACCCACTGCTGCCCCTAATTTTTAAAATTTTTAAAAAGTGAAAGTGACTGCCTTTAAAAAGAGAGGCAGGGTTTAGCTAACTACTGAGCTTCACTATTTTTAATTTCAACTGCTTCCTACTCCCCAGGAGCAAATGCAGCCTAAAATCTGCTGCTCTGTGATGCCTTTGTTATTGAGTTTTAGCCCATGAACTTACATTTTCTCCAAGGTCTAGGGATTAATTCTAGACCCAGATCTACTTTAGTGCAGTACCTAATTAAATGTTCCAGACTAGGGTCTATGTAAGAGCAGACAGAAGGACATAAATCTGAGGGCAGAGAGGAACTTTTAGACATTTAGTGTCTTTGAAATGGCAAAAGCAAATAAAAGTCATCAATTACTCCTCTGCAGACATTTACACAAAGGTCTTAGAAATACAGCCTGTTAGGGCAGCTAGGTGGTGCAGTAGATAGAGCTCAGCCCCGAAGTCAGGAGGCCTTGAGTTCAAATCCAACCTTACACACTTACTAGCTGGGTGAACCTGAACAAGTCACTTAACTGCAATTGCCAGAAAGAAAGAAAGACAGCTCTTGGCTCCATGGACTGAAGAGCAGCCCCCACTGTGGGGAAGATGGAGCTTGGCTGTCTGATAATCTCTCTGAAAATCCGGGCTATATATTATCTTCTTTTAGTGACCTCTATTAGTCTGACTATTATCATCTTACAAAACCTCTGCTATTTCATCTCTGCATCACTAGGTGCCGACTTACTGGACCCATATAATATTATGCAAGTTTCATGCCAGATTCCCCAGAATGCAGTTGTGGCATAGTAGGACACACTCAGAATCAGGGTCCAGTCTCCATTCTGCTAGTAACTCATTGTGTGACTTTGGGCAAAGTCACCTAACCTTTCTGAGGTTCTGATGAGGACCAGATGTGCCCTAAGGTCCCTTTTTGCTTTGAGATTCTAGGAATTCCTGTACTCACCTCCTCCTCTACTCTCCCAACTGTGTGTCCTCAAACATCTACGCTTGTTATGACCATGCACAGAATCTTTATTTTTGATACATAAAAATAAAATATTTACTATGATTTTTTAAAAGTTTAAAAATTAAACGGAACAAGACTCATGGGCAATACCTGCTTTTCCCTTTTTAATAGTTAACCTGCATCATTTCTTCAGGCCTGGCCAGATACCAGACTACCTTAACCACAGAATTGTAGATTACCAGGGACCAGGCTTGTGATTTTGCTGGTATCAGAAATTCCTGGATGAGGGAGCTCTACCAAGGCAAGTCAGCATTCTCTTCTCTACAATAGTCTTAGGGGGTGGTCTAGAGTACTAAGAGGTTAAGTGATTTGTCCAGGGTGACAAAGCCAGTATGTGTCTGAGGCGGCACTTGAACCCAGATCTTCTTGGCTTTGAGGTCAGTTCTCACACCACATTGCCTCTTCCCCACAGAATTACTATTCCTTGTAAAAACAACACATCCTTTATTAAAAACTTTGTCATTATAGATTTATTTTTATGTTCAGAACAACCCTATGAAGTAGACAGTACTCATTTTATAGATGAGGAAATAAAGGCCTGAGGAGACTAAATGTCTTGAGAAAGGATGCAGTAAACTTTAGAGCTGGACTAGTTCAAACCTAGTCCTCTGCTGTTAAGCCTAGGCCACACCCTGCCTTCTTGTAGTTTCACAGGCCAAAATACCAAAATATCATGATTTTATTTTGCTTCTTCCAAACCTAGGTAAGTTTCAGGGTATTCAACCTTCATCCAGCAAATTTCCATGGATAACCAATCTCCTGTGTTTTAGGTACTTTGGGGAGAGGCATGGAATTCCAAAACAAACCTAACTCCTTATCTTTAAGGGGCTGCTAGGCCAGAGAGAAGAAATTTGGGAAACAACTGGAGGGGAAAAAGATTTTGGACCAAGCCTGATTTCATCTATATAGGGAACTAGCAGTGATGAACCTCCCTCTATAGACACAGGTTGGCAGCAATTCTGTAATTTAAGGGCCTTCGAGAGGACCCTGAGAGGTTTAAATGACTTACCCAGGGTCACCCACCCACTATTTGTCAGAGGTGGGGCTTGAGCACTGGTCTTCCTAAGTGAAAGGGAGGCAGCTAGGTGGCGCCATGGTGGATAGAGTGCCAGGCCTGGAGTCAGGAAGACCTGAGTTCAAATCTGACCTCAGACACTTACTAGGTGTGTGACCCTGGGCAAGTCACGGAACCCTGTTTGCCTCAGTTTCCTCATCTGCAAAATGAACTAGAGAAAGAAACGGCAAACCCCGTCAGTATCTTTGCCAAGAAAATGACCAAACAGCAACAGTAGGAGTGCAGCGAATAGCTTGCTGGACTTAAAATCAGGATGACCCAAATTCAAATTCCGCCTCAGTTTGTATGATGCCAAACAATTCACTTAACCACTCCAGGCTTCAGTTTTCTTATCTGAAAATAGGGATAATAAGAATACCTTTAACTTAGAAGGTTGTGGGAATCAAATGAGACAACATGCATTGTAAACCTTTCAGCATTTATATAAATCTTTTTTTAATTAATTTACTTTTAATTTTCAACATTCACTTTTATAAGATGTTGAATTCTAATTTTTTTGCCCTCTCTCTCTTGCCCCTTCCCTAAGACAGCATGCAATCTGAAATAGGCTACATTATATATAAACTGAAGCCCAAAGAGGGAGGTGGTTTGCTAACTGCTCAGACTATCCCCCAAAGTAGACCTGGGTCAAACCAGTTTTTACTTACATCACTCAAATGCAAATGGTTGGTGTTATCATCTGAACAACAGTTCCTAGGCTTCCTTTGGAACGCCACCTTTCTAACAATTTTTTTTTTGGCTAGGCAGTAGGGTTAAGTGACTTGCTCAGGATCACACAGCTAGTAAGTGTTGAGTGTCTGTGGTCAAATTTGAACTCAGGTCTCCTCCTGACTCCAAGGCCAGACCTCGAACAATTGTTTTAAGGGAAAGAATGTTAAGGTGTTTTCCATAGCAGCAGCAGGATACACACTAACCCAAGTATACTTCACCACCATGACTTGTCACCAAGGACATGATATGATTTCTCCAGAGATTATTTCTTCACTCGGAAATTCATAAAGCTGTTAGAAGGAATTTTACTGGCTTGCTGTCTCTGATAAGAGGACCACAAAAGAGTCTGTGGCAAGTTCATGATGAGTCGTCACAAATTCAAGCCGATCCCTAGAAATCAGGCTAGAACAGACCTGGGGAGGAAGGGAGGACCGGGTAAAACTGTCATTGTTTCTTGGCTGTAACTAGAAAGTCAGAAATTCAGCTGCCAAACACTTCCCCTGATCTCCACCCCTACCCTGTCCATTCCATCCAGGTGCATCCATTGCATCAGCCAGCTCCCCAGTGACAGCTTACCTTCATTCCCAGCATGCCTTACCTCTCCAGATCTCCCAGTTTCTAACATTCTATCCCACTTTTGACTATCCCTTATTCTCTAGAATAGATCATAAGATCGCAGCTGAAAGCTATGGAATTCAACCCCCTCATTTGACAGAAGAAGGAAGTGAGGCTCAAGGAAATTAAGTGATTTGCTAAGGTCATGAAGATAGTTGTCAGATGGTGAGATTTGAACCCAGATCCTTTGATCCTAGGACCCAGTCTACCTGCCTAGTTTGATCTGCTATCTTGTCTCAGATTCCAGCTCTGCTGTGCCCTCTGACACAATTCAAGAGTGTATTGGAATTCTCCTGATCAGCTAGGAGCCCTAGGTCTGCAAAGGTACCATGGACCTGTATGACTCAATAAAATGCTGTAATTTTTGTTTCACTTTATCTTCACCCTTGGCTTATAATGTGGGTAAATCAATAGCAACCATCACCACTACCACCAACTTCCCTTCCCCCACCTTCCTTCACATACCATTCCCCAAATCCTGGCTCAGAAATGCTTCCCTTTTCTGTATAGGGGACAGCTAGGTGACACCATAGTGCAGAGTGTTGGACCAGGAGCCAGGAAGACTCATCTTCCTGAGTTCAAATCTGCCCTCTGACGCTTACTAGCTGTGTGATCCTGGGCAAGTCACTGAACCCTGTTTGCCTCAGTTTTCTCATCTATAAAATGAGCTGGAGAAGGAAATGGCAAACCACTTCAGTATCTTTGCCAGGAAAACCCCAAATGAGGTCACAAAGAGTCAGATATGACTGAACAACAACAAATTTGGGGTAGGCCTAGCAATGGTATAGTTGGGTGAAAGGACACACACAGCCTAGTACCCACCAGTAGTACATCAATGTGCCTGCTCTGACACCGCCCCTCCAACATTTATCATTTTGCCTTTTTTGGGGAGGTGGTGCCATCTTTGCCACTCTGATGGGTATCAGGTAGAATCTCAGAATTGTTTTACTTTCCATTTGTCTGATTAGTATAATTTGGAGCATTTTTTCATAAGAAAAAGTAATTGTTGTTGAAAGAAGAAAAGGTACACCAAAAATTTTTGTAAATACTATATACATATAAAACCTATAAAAATGTACATGTTCTGTAGATAAAATGTTAATAGCAGCTCTTTTTGTGATAGTAAAAAAACAGAACAAAACAAAGTAGAAACCAAGGGGGTGCCTATAAATTGAGAAATAGCTGAGTAAGTTATATGAAAGTGATGTGATACTTCTATGCAAAAAAGAGGACATAGATGATTTCAAAAGGGCATGGAAAGACTTTTACGGATCAACACAGTGAAGTTATAGAACGAGATAAACAATCCATCCTGTACTATTAACTTTAAAAATGAACATTTCTGAGGACTTTTATAAAGAGGCAAAAAAATTTAATGAGCAAAATAAGAACAATTTCTATGAAACAACTTTGAAAGCTGTACAAACTATGCTCAATTCAATGACCATTCATTAGACAAGAGGACAGATGATGAAATATGCTCTCCAGGACAAGGTGATAGATTGGATAAACGAAATCACACACATGCACATATCGCACATATGTGTATACATGTACACATATGTGTTCTGTATACATGTGTATATATACAGAGCCACTAAAGAAATTTAGTTTGCTCGACTATGTATATTTTTTTATAAGGAATTTGTTTTTCTTTTTTTTTCCAATGGGGAGGGTTCTATTAATTAAAATAAAATAGAGAGGTAGGAGGGTGCTACAGATTTGGAACATTACATGCACTTTCATATGCGTTTACTATTATTTTTATTTGTATTATAGATATTTAACTGTATTATTAATTGTATCTGTTTTACTTTGTTATAAGAGACTTTTCAGAGTGGGGATGATCTGTAAATGTTTGTAATGTTAAAACAAAATACACTAATAAAACTTTTTTTAAAGAGGGGAAAAAAGGAAATAAACCATTCCATCAACTTTCCTTATTAATGCAAAACTGACCCTGGCACAAAACAGCTGCCTCCTGCCCCCCATACTGAGTCTTACTATGGAAAGGATTCTTTGATATGGGGATGTCATCCCCAAGACATCAGAAACCTAGCTCTCTGTGGGGAAGGGAACCTATTTTGCAAGTTCAGGTTAATAAATTATTTGTGGAACTCACTTGACATTCATTCATTTAAACATTTACCGAACATCTATGTGCTGGGCATAGACACTTGCCTGGAGTCTTGCTTGTTAAAATGTGAGCTCCTTGAGAAGTGATTGGGTTATTACCCCCTTTCTTTTGATCTACACATAGAAAGCATAGTCCCTGATGGCACACAGCAAGTGCTAAATAAATGCTTCTTGACTTGGGCAATTTGGATCTCTGCTTTCATCATTCCCTCTCTTATCTGTGTATGTATCATATCCCTGTTTCCCCATCTAGAAGAATATAAGGTGCTTGAGGGCAAAAATTGTGTTGTATGTCTATACCCTCAGCCCTTGGCACAGGGCTTGTTTATTGAGTCAGATAGAGACAAATAAAACCTGAGTCATAATTTTCATTTGAGGAGCTAGGTCTTAGTGGACTGAGTAGACTTTGAGCACTGCATTAATGCCATCCAGACCTGCCTCTTTAGTCCGATGATTCAATGGAGTCTTCCATCATGTTGCCCTCACTCCACGAAGCAAAGCACAGTAAGGAAGCTCTTGGAGCAGAGAAAGCTTAAGGAAGAGTTTAGCTGGCCATGATCTCAGACACAGATTGGTCAAGTCGGCTAAAATAAGCAGACGTGGCTCCTGGTTCCTCATTCAGGGTTTCCAGTTCCTCATTCCTGGAGGCCCAGGGAAGCTGTTTATTTCTTACCCGATACAAATTGCAAAAATCAGACAGAGGGGCGAAACCTTCTCTACCTTCTTGTTTGTTCTCAGTGTCCACTTTCAGGTCCTAGACTTTCTATTAAAGAAAGGGACAGAGTGAAAAGGCAGCCTTCTCTGTATTCCAGCCCAGGGCAGTCTGCTGCTATTCCCTCCACTATTCTCTGAGGTGAAGAGAATCAAGAAAAGCCAACTAGAGATGAGACTAAGAGGGACCCAGACTATGTATGATGTGGCAGCTGGGAGAAGAGGCAGAATTCACTCCTATAAGGTCTAGGTCTCTTACCTATGATTCTGCCTTGAGTAGGCATTCATTTTCCCAGTTGGAAGAGAAGGGAGAGAGACAATATGTGTAGCCACTGACATGTTTTCTAATATAACTAGGCATGATGTGGTATGGCCCAAGGCTGAGTTAGTCTATCTAGCAAAGACCTCAAACTGGCATTTTAAAGTTTTATTTTAAATAAAGTTACAATACATTCCAGTGGATTGTAAGCTCCTTGAGAGAAGGAATTGTTTAAAAAATTATCTTTTGTTTTTCACATCGCCTAAATTTTCTGTACATTCCTCCCCCTCCCCAAGAGCAATCTCATATAACAACGTGTATACACACACACACACACACACACACAGAGGAAAAGAAAAACAATCAGCAAAAATAATCAAGATTTGAAAAAGTCTGAAAATATATGCAATTTTTATGCCCATGGACCTCCTTCTACTGCAAAGGAGTGAGAGGAGGGATCTTCTCGTGTTAATTCTTCGAGACCGTGTTCTTTGTACTTTTGCAGCGTGCATTTTGTGTTTCCTCGGCTCTGCTTAGCTCTGTTAAGGCTTTCTGAGGTTCTTTGTATTCCTAATTCGTTTCTTACAGGGGAATAATATTTCATTACATCCATATGCTACGGTTTGCTTGGCTGTTCTCCAATCAATGGGCATCTAACTTTATTTCCAGTTCTTTGTTACCACACAAAAAAGTGCAGCTCTAGTTGGCTTATCTTTTTATCGGTGACCTCCTCAGGACTCTTTTTCTTTAACCTCTGTAGTCTCAGGTCTATCATGGTGCCTCCATCAAAACTAGGATATTAATAAATGTTCGTTGAATTGAAGTCCAGTGACTTATGGCACCCTCAGGGCAAAGGGACAGATTGGACAAGGATGCTGCTGCTACTCCAAGAGAAAATGCCTTAATTTGATCAGCACTTCAAACTCCCCAGCATTTCATCATACCTTCCAGCCTGGAGGCTTTCACTTTCCAAGGCAGGACCTATGGGCATATCTCCCAGGTGTCAAGGAGATCAGACAGACTAGTTTGAATGACACCCTTCACTCCTCACCAAAGGAATTCCTTTCACCAACCAAGCATTAGGTACCATAATGCAATGAATGAGGAAAGTAACACATCAGCCTGTTACCTCTCTTTTACTAAAACTGTCCTGAATTTTCTCCTCTCAATGGAGACTGAAGACCTCAATGCTTGATGCTCTCTGCAGACATCCTTAGTTAAAGCTTGTCTAGTTTTTGGGGTGTCAGCAGTATCCCCATGTGTGACAGGGAGGTTCGTGTGCCATCCCGTATTTGGGGGGGTGACTGGATCTTACTCTTCCCTTATTAATCCTTACATCCCCCTCAGTTTTCCCTTTGGTGTTTCCAGTTAAGCCCCGAAATGTAGAGCTGCCTATTGCCTTCAGTACTGAATGGTCTTTAATAATTCTTTAACACTTCCTCACCTCCTACCTCCCATCTCCATCCCAGCAACAGACCACAACAGCTACTAAGTACTGAACAACAATAATCATAACAGTCAGTCAGTCAGTCAGTCAGTCAATAAGCAGTCAGTTCACAAGCATTTATTAAGCCCTAATTATGTGCTAGGCAATTGTGCTAAGCACTGGAAATATAAAGAAAGGCAAAAAAAAAAGTCCTGCCCTCACGCTCACAGTCTAGGGAGGAGACAAGCAAACAAATATATACAAAGAAGCTATATATAGGATGAATAGGAAATAACAGAGGGAAAGCACTAAATAAAGAGGTATTGGAAAAGGCTTCCTGTGGAAGGTGGGATTTTAGCTGGGACTCAAAAGAAGCTGGGAGGTAGAAATGAAGAGAGAGAACATTCCACGTATGAGAGACACCCAGAGAAAATGTGGGGAGCCTAGAGATGGAGTGTCTAGTTCTGGGAACAGCAGTAAGGCTTCTGGATCAAAGAGTATGTGGGGGTGGTATGAGGTTTTCACTGTTGTTCAGTCGCTTTTCAGTCGTGTCTGACTCTCCAGGACCCCATTTTAGGGTTTTCTTGGTAAAGATACTGAAGTGGTTTGCCATTTCCTTTTCCAGCTCATTTTATAAGTGAGGAAACTGAGGCAAAAACAGTTAAGTGACTTGCCCAGGTTCAGGCAGCTAGTAAGCTTCTGAGGCCAGATTTGAACTCAGAAAGATATGTCTTCCTGACTTCAAGCCCAGCAGTCTATCCACTGAGCCACCTAGCCACCCTTGTACAAGGTTTAAGAAGACTGAAAAGATGAAGGGGAGCAGGGGTAGGTTCTGAAGAGCTTTGAACACCAAAGAGGGGATTTTATATTTAATCCTGGAGGTGATAGGAAGCCACTGGAGTTTATTGAATATGAGGGTGACATGGTCAGACTAGCACTCTAGGAAAATCATTTTGGTGGCTGACTGGAGGGTAGACTGGAGGATGACAGTAATAATCATGGCATTTATACGGTCCTTAAGCTTTACACTGAAACCAACTTCACTTAGTCCTTACCACGAATCTATAAGTACTATAGATACTATGTTTGTTTTATAGATGAAGAAACTGAGATTCAGGTTAAGTGACATGCCCATAGCACACAATAACTGCTGACATTTGAACTCAGGTCTCTCCTGACTCCAGGATTAATGATGCTCTTTCTACTAAATCATAGTGGGACCTACCTCTCTGGGATGGGGGCTGACCCAGGGCAAAACTGGAAAATCCATTCATTTCCTCACTGAGTACCAATTTCATGTAAAATATTGCTCGCTTAAACCTCCTACACAAATGCCCAGGGCTTTTCATGTGGCTCTGGGTTTCTTCTGCCAGGACAGAAAAGATCAGTATGAA